ATTATTATCATGGTCCCTTATTAACAGTTTGAGCTCAGTTCTTCCCTTACAACTCTTAGATTTGATTGGTACTGGGATCCCGAGGGAACTCTGAAACTCAAGACTAGCGCTTCAAAATAGTCATCAAATTGTTGGTGTAGTTTAGGGTCCGTACAGCAAAAACTTTTATGCTTTCAATTTCATTTACTGAGCACTGAGAATATAAACGTGTGCATGTGTTTATTCAAGATAACACACATAAATATACTCATCCAAATGTTTTTATATGTAAAATACATGTGTATATAGACATATAATAGATGATACTACATATTCAGGAGTAGACTGTTGAGGATAGAGCCCTAACACAGAAAAAAGGCAGTTTTGGGGACACAGAGGCCTTTACCTTAATTGGGTAAATTAAAAAAGGTATCACTGCATAGTGGAACAAGCCATGGATTTGGAGTCCTTAGACCCATGTTCAAATCTAGGCTCTGCTACAAATTGCCTATGTGACACCTAGGCAAATCACAGACTGTTCCTGAGCCTCAGTTTCCCTCTCTGTACATAAAGGAGTTGGACTAGATGGTCGGTAAGTTCTCTTCCAGCTCTAAAATTCTTTGGTCCTAAAATTCGTGGTTTAACAGTTTGCAATGAGGCTAGCTAGCTTTTCCCAGGTAGCGAATTTTCGACTGTGAGTTTAAGAAGGCCGCCACTAGATGGAGCTGTGCTACTGTAAGTGCTCAGAGGTCCCTCCAGAAACTCTAAACTTTGGTCACCATCTTGGCCACGCCCTCCACAACACCACAGTTATGTTTACTGTGACCCAACAGAGGAATCCTCCAGGAGGCTTAATCACTTTAATTTTTCCACCATTAATTAGGCGTGAGACACGCTTCCTCAGAAAAAAACAGGAAGTCACCTGGCTTTCTTTTTAATTATTAGTTAACTTGATTTTTAATTAGAACCCAGCTTTAGAGGTGCATAGACTTATAATTGGAAGGCGCATTATAGATCCGCAGGTAAACTAAGGCTGAGAGAAGTAGAGTGGCTGGCCTGAGGACCCAAAGGTGGGAGGGAGCAGAGCCCTCCTCTGCCACACGTGCTCCCTTGGTGAGACCCAGATGACCCCACACTTCTGCCTGTTGAGAGTCATTGGCTGCCCCTTCCTTCCTCCTCACTTCCCAAGGCTCTCCAGGCTTGCAGGATCTCACTGAATGAATGAATAAATACACGCATGCATGTAAAAAGCATTTATTAAGCACTTGCTATGTTCCAGGTATTCCTGTGAATGTTAGGGATAAGAAGGCAAAGGGGGCAGCTAGGTGGCATAGTGGATAGAATGTCAGACCTGTAGTCAGGACCTGAGTTCAAATCTGGTCTCAGATACTTCCTAGCTGTGTGACCCTGGGCAAGTCACTTTACCTCTGCATGCCTCAGTTTCCTCATCTGTAAAATGGGGGTGATAATAACACTTACCTTCCAGGATTATTGTGAGGATCAAAAGTACCTGGTACACAGTAGGCACTATATAAATAAGGAAAGAATTCCAAAGCAAGAAAATCTCTACTATGTTATGCTGTGGCCTGGGAGCACAAATGGTCCAGTAATAAAGACAACTTCCATGTGTTGGAATTTTTCCCTTCTTTCAGCTCAGTTGAGCTGCCCCCTCCCCTGGGAAACTCTCCCTGATCTGTCTCCACTCCACTGCTGGAAGTTTTCTATTTCTCTTCTAATCTCTCATAGCATGTTTTCACTAAATCCTTCCTCTGCACTGATCATATTCTAATTTATTACAATTTTTCTCTGTGTTCTTTGAGGCCAGGGTCTTCCAAGTCTTCCCCCGGTGACAAACACTTAGTTTGTACCAAATACTGAGCTGAATCAAACATGAAATGCAAACTGTCCTAAAGGCTCAATTGCACTAACGGCTTTTCAGAAGCTCACTGTTCAGGAGCAATTCCTACTAGGAGGGGTCAAAAATCTTCCAATTATAACAATCATCTGTGGGACCTGAAATCAAAGTATATAGAGAGTTTCATCCAGTTTAATTAGACTAATCTCCCACATCAACAAACACATCAAGGATGGAGAAAGCTCCTTTGTTTCAGGTCGCCACGTTCAACAGAGTGGTCACTTAGAACTTCTTCCAGGAACAAGGAGGCCCATGGAGAGGTCAAGTGCCTGCAGCACTAGGGGGGAATCAGACACTCCAGGGTCTTCTCCTGACTCCACCATTATTGTTTGATTTGGAGCAAGTTAGTTTTCTCTTGTCTGTAAACAAGAGATAATAATATCTCTCTGTCCCTTCCCTCTCTGAGAAGACATGAGGATGAATAAGGTATTTAGGGAACACCCTATGTTCCCCAGAAGGCATCAGAAAAATACCAGCTGTCATCAGTCCTCCTCTGAAATCCTTCTGCATTTATTTTATTTCCAAAGGATCGTAGGATCAAGAGCTATAAGAAAAAGTAAGGGGTACATGGAGAAATGACTTAATGCATAGGACCAAGAGCCATTTCTCTGCAGATAAGTGGTCAAAGGATATGAACAAATAGTTTTCAGGAGAACTACAAATATCAACAATTATGTAAAAAGTGCCAGGTCACTAATAAGAGAAATGCAAATTAATCTACTCTGAGGTTTCATCTCCTTAAGTTTCTTAAGGACAAGGATTTTTTTGATTTTGTCTTTGTATCCCTACTGCCTGAAACAAAGTGAGCACTTAATAAATCCTTTCTGGTTTATTATTAAATTTGGCAAAAATAATAAAAGAAATAATCAGTGTTGGAGGAAGTCAGGCACATTAACCCACTGCTAGTAGAATTGTGCAAGAAGTATAACAACAAAATTTTAGTTCATAACCTTTGGTTTGGGCAACATGCTCCTGGGCATAAATCCCATAAGGCCAATGACATAAACAAAGGCTCCATGTATATCAAAATATCCATAGCCACATTTTTTGTTGTAGTAAAAAAAAATGAAGCAAAATGGAAGCCCATCAATTGGGGAGTAGCTAAGTAGACTGTATTAAATAGATGAAACAGAATATTGGGCAGCAAGACACAATGAATATGAGGAATTCAGAGAAACATAGGAATATGTTTATGAACTAATGCACAGAAAAGAACCTGGAAAACAATATGAACAACTATAAGCCTAAAACAACATTAAAAGGCAGATTAATTGTAATGACCTTATTAATTTCAATGAACTTAGATTAACCTCAATGACAAATCTTGGTTCTGGAGAACAGAAAATAAAATAAATTCACTCCTCTCAGTAGAGGGGTGAGGGATCACAGGCTGGGAATGCTGTATATGCTCTCAAAGCTAGTTGTAAGTCAGTTTTGCATTACTGTTTTTTCTTCTTATAAGGCAATATTCCTAAGAGGTAGGTAATAATGGTGGAAAGATATATCAGCAAATAACTGTGGTATAAAACACAAAAGATAACAACAAATTTTTTTTTAAAGTAAGGGTTGGCAGAACAAAGAAGAGCTCAATACATACTGGTGCTTTTATGGTCCTGTATCTGCACCCAGGTACTAAACTAACAGTGACCTTAGAGTTTATTTGCTCCAGTTGCCCAGTTCATCAGCTGCTGTGGTTGCCAGGATACTATGAGGTCACCTGCTAATGACATTCAAAGCTGCTGCTGTGGGCCCACCCTCTGAAACTAATGGCAGAAGCAGGGAAAACCACAGCTGCTGTCCAGGGTGTGTACTGGTGGCCTCAATGCATCTCAACATAGGAAATGATGACCTCATCTCAATTCACAGTTCTCATCTGCAAAATGGGAACATTACTACTACATCACAGGGTTACTGCAATGCTCAAATTAGATAATAAATATGAAAGGGTTTGTAAACTGTAAATCTCTTCACAAATATTTGTAATAAGAATACAACAATCACTGACAGCTTCACTAGGACCTCCATACACTCTATATTCAAATAGTAATACTTATTGAACACCTTCCTTCTAATATCTTTAAAATACTGTACAGATATTTCCCCATCCACATAAAGCTTAATTACCTCTTTACAACAGAAAGGAAAACTAAAAGACTATTTTACGCATCCTGCTGTGCAGGAAAAGTCTTGGCTACCAAGATTAGCCCTCCTGAGGATATGCTGATGACAAAGTAGTACAACATAATCTTATTCTAATCTACCTCCAAAATTCATGAGAAATTTCTGAGACAACTAAATTAAAACAGAATCATGGATTAACAGAGCTGAAAGTGACCTTAGAAGTCATTTAGAACAACTGTCTCGGGGGCAGCTAGGTGGCGCAGTGGAGACAGCACCGGCCCTGAAGTCAGGAGGACCTGAGTTCAAATCCGGCCTCAGACCAAACACTTGACACTTACTAGCTGTGTGACCCTAGGCAAGTCACTTAACCTCAACTGCCTAAAAACAAAACAAAACAAAAACAAACAAAAAAAAGAACAACTGTCTCATCTTATAGCATTGGAAACTGAGGACCAGTGAGGTTAAATTATATTCTTAAGGTCACATCACTACATAAGAGCAGAACAAGGATTAGAACCTAGGTTTCCTGACTCCTTTTCCATTGTACCATGCTGTCAGAATCACAGTAGAATGGTGGCACATTTGGAAAGGATTTTATAGAATACCTAAGCCAAACCTTTCATTTCACAGAAGAGTAACACAACAAGAGGGGAAGCATCCTTTAAGGCTACACTACAGGTCAGTAGCAGAACTAAAATTAGAATCTGGGTCTTCCTACTCTTTCTACCATTTAGTCAAGTGGCACTTGTTAAGCAACATGCTTAACGGCACCAATGGAGCCCAACACCACACCATGTCTCTACAAGATCACTAGTTATTGCATAACGATGAAGAGTGACTCTCTAGCAGAGACATATACAACGGTAGCTACTTAAATGAGGACGACAAAAGGTCAAATAACAAGCAAGACAGACAATGGTGACTAATTTGCAGAGACAATAGTTCAATTATGCTTTTTTCAAGTTGGTTGAGGAATATTGCTTACCTGTCATAAGCTTCCTTGAGGTCTCTGGCCAACTTACACTTGGGAAGAATGTGATGAAATGGAGACTGTGGACCTTCAATTAAAACAAGTAAATGAGTAAAGTTTTCAGGGTAAAACAATCTTTATAAAAACAGAATAGGAATACTTTTTTTTTTTTTAGGCAACTGGGGTTAAGTGACTTGCCGAGGGTCACATGGCTAGTAAGTGTCAAGTGTTTGGTCTGAGGCCGAATTTGAACTCAGGTCCTCCTGACTCCAGGGCCAGTACTCTATCCACTGTGCCACCTAGCTGCCCCAGAATAGGAATACTTTTAAAAGAGAATTTTGATATTTGTATCCTTAACTCTCATTTATTTATGATCATGGGATTACAGATTTTAGAAGTGGAAGGGATCTAAGCATTTATTCTCTATTCCAACGGCCTCCTTTATGGATGAAAACTGAAACAGAGGCCCAGAGAGATGAAGTAATTCACTCTTGTGCCACAAAATTAAGAAGTGGCAGAGCCTGGATTAAACCCAAGTTTCTTTGACTCCGAATCCAGGACACTTTCCATTGTCCCACAATAAAAGACTTTTTAAAACAATTTCTTTTAATAATAAAATAAAATAAAAAAGAAATCTTCTCTACTGATCTCTGTGATCACTTTGAACCCTGAGTTACACAGAGATTAGAGTACATCTGACCAACATTTATGAGTATTCTGTATGGAAGACATGCAGTTTAAGCCCCGTAGCTGACCAATGCCACATAAATGAGGCAAATCACCAGAAGGCGTATGACATAAAACAAAACAGGGGAAGCACACTACAGTCAATCAGACTCCCACATGCCAGCAGGGAATCAATCTGGCTTCTTTCTAGCTACCTACTTTGCTACCTTTCCTGGATACTTTTTCTTGATAAAGGGTTTGAGACCTTCAGAAAAGAGAGGGCTGCTGTGCAGACTGGCATAGCCAGGGGTACCTAGGTGAGGTACTGCAGTGAGGCTTTAGCAGTACTGTCCAGTCCATTTAAAACAATACCCCTGATGGAAGATGACAAAGACGATTTCACAGAAAGTGAGCACTAGAAGAGACAGCAGCATACCGACTACTTTAGAACCTTCGAGATCACCTAGTTCAAGATCCTCAAATTTAAAGGAAGAAACTGAAGCCTAGAAAGAGGAGTGACTTATCACTCTCATTGTAACAAAATATACCTGAGCATCCCAAGTTGGTGGGAAATAGAGCAAATAAAATGGTGCCTCAACTTTTTTTTTCCATTAATGTTATGACTAAGTATAATTATGTAGATACATGAAGCAAAAAAAAGTAATGCCACGGCCTTCATTATTAAGATACCGAATATAAACATGGATTTTAGCTTGAATGATTTATTTGCATATGGAGGCTGGGGAGAGAGGTTTAAAAATCTTATTTATAAATCTTATAAACAGCAGAAGAGCACTGGGATTGGAGTCAGAAGACTTGGGTTCGAATCCAAGCTTAACTTCATACTAGCTAGATGACTACAGGCAAGTCAGTCCATCTCTATGAACCTCAGTTTCCTCATCTGTAATAGGCTTAATAACACTGTTACTATCTTACCTGACTCATGTGAACAAAGTACTTGCTAAAGTGTAAAAAACTACAGACAGATAAACTATTATTATTAAAGAACTCAAATGGAATTTTCAAATAAATGGAAATGAGTAATGAAATCACTGGAGTATTTCACAGAGTATAAAATAATAATTTGATATTTCACATTTCCTAGGCTTTCTAGGTGCCTTCGGGTAGGATTATAGCTTAGGTGAAGGCAGAAACCGAAAGAAACTTTAAATCTGGAGCAGATACACAAATGTGGGACTTGGTCCCAGTTTTGAACTCTTCTTTTTATGAAAATTTACTCTGATCCAAATATGTGAAGGCAGTGTGCATCAGCATGAAAGCACTGTTATCTGGAGTTAGATGATTTGCATGCAGATCCTGCATCTGCCATTCACAAACTATGTGATCCTGAGCAAGACACTTCACTCCTCTGGGTCCCAGACTTCCTCATCGAGAAAACAAAGGGGTTGCCTTGGAGGAGCCCCAAGGCCCCTTCCACCTCTAAATCTATGATCACAAAATGTGGCCTTGAGACAGTTTGGATCGAGTTGGTCTGAGATGTCCAAGATCCACATCTTCACGCAAAACAGCAATAAGGCTCCAGGCACGTAGTCACTTAGCCTAGCAACCAAAGCCCTCCACATACTGACTCCACTCTGATGCTTGCACTTGGCCTCACAGCCATCTCCTCTGTGTGCTTTTCTGTCCTGCTTCTTCTCAGGACACGTGGGACTCATCTTCTCCATCTCTGCTTGCGGACACCCCTCCAGACTTCCAGGCTCAGCTCAGGGGTCACCCAGTCCTCAGTCCTACCCATTACAGGAAAGATTTTCCCTTCCTTTAATCTCATAACTCTCTGAACTCTTCTCATATACTTAGTATCTTCTATTCTGTATCATGTTTATCCATATATATGTCTTCTCTCTCCTAATTACACCATAAACTCAGCAAGGACAGGGATTCCTTCTTTTTGGTCTCTATATGTTTCTCCAGAAATCTGGAAATCCCAATGCAATGCACAAAGGAAGATGCTTAATGTTTATGGAATGAATAATGTTATAAAACATTGCTCTTAGTAAATATGCCTTAAAAAAACCAGTTAGGTTTTCTTTATCTTCTTTATTAAGAGTTTTGCTCTAATGTAAGGTTTGACTCACTGGCACGTTGACTCTGGATTCGAATTCTGTCTTCTTTTCAAGCAACTACAGTAAAAGGTCTGGCTTAAGAGATTTAATGGCAATGAAGTAGTTCCAAATATCCCCCTCCCCTCCTCCCACCAAAGTTCTTTTCTTTAGTCACTCTCCTCCAACATGAGAGAACCATCAAGCATTATAGCTTGACAGCCTGAGAGATTCACACCTTCACTTCAAGATGAGCCCTATATGACTGGGTAGTTTCATGAAAAAGAAAGTTGTACAACTAAGAGGCAACATGGGGTGACAGAAAGAATACTGGTCTTAGAGTCAAAGGCCTGTGTTGGAGGTCTGTCTCCACCACTGCTGGGTCATAGGACCTTTGGGGCAAGTCCTTAGGTCTCTAAGCTTCATTTTCTTCAGCTATAAAATGGGGTAACAGTAATTATATTAATAACTTCCTCTACAGGTGTATTATAAGGACTGACTGAGGTAAGTATATACAAACCATTATGTAAATGTGAGTTAATTATTATAAGAATAGCAAATTATATTTATGGCCCCAAGCCAATATTTGAATGATCTCCAAATAAGAAAAAACTTTAAGTTAAAAAGTTCCCTGCTATTATCAACAGAATTAATGTGCTAACACAGTCAGGGTTTAATCTACTTAGACTCATAGAATATCAGTTAGAAGGGACCTAAGAGATCAAAGAGAGGAAATTAGAGTCCAAAAAAAATTATGTGACTTGTCCACGGTCACACAGCTAGAAAGAGGCAAAGCTTAGACTTCAACCTAGGTCTAAACTCCAAGTCTAGTGATTTTCCCCCCATACCACATTGCCTCTCATTTTAGGGAATATTTAATTGAACCACTAAAAACCAATCCATCACACACAGCTGACCTGCTCCTCTACCTGAGACTTGTCTTCTACTTAAGAATTTCCTATCAGGGCTGCTAGGACTGGGAAGGGCAGTGAGCCCCACACTCACTGTCAGACATGGCAGACACTTCATCCTGAATGGCTAAGATCAGCTTGGCCTCTCTGGTCAGGTACTGGCAGCGCCTCTCTTCATGCTGCAGCACAATGGCAATTCGACGTGACAGGTTATGCAGGCAGTTTATCACAGAAGGATCCGCATTGGCCTGGAAGGTAAAAAAGTCACTGAATGCGAATTCTGTATACACATTACAACTATAAATGTAATGTGTATGTGTCATACATGTATAGGAACATATATGTAAGTGTGTGCTGCCTTAAGCTGCATCCTAACTGGAGTCTAGTGCTCAGTTCCAGGCACTATATTATGAGAAACATTGACAAGCTGGAGCACGTACAGAGGAGGGCAGCCTGGCTGGCGAGGGGACTTAAACTCATGCAAAATGATATGAAAGAATTTGTGGAGAAGTACGATATTAATCCTAAAGCAGACATAAGGGAAGCATGACTGAGACCTCCAAATATTCCAAGAGTTCTCATGTGGGAAAGGGTCTATTTATTTTGTTTTGACCTAGGAATAAGGAAGGGAGGAACTAGATGCAGTGGAAGGGCTACACAGGGCCAGATCTAGCTCAATATAAGGAGGAAGTTTCTAACTACTAGAGCTGCCTCAAAATGGAACGGGTTTCCTTGGGAAGTCATGAACTGTCTATCACTGGAAATCTTCAAAGGGAGGCTGGCTAATCATTTGTGAGGGATATTACAGAGTATTTGTGCTTCAATTACGGGTTGGAGATGATGGCCTCTAAGGTCCCTTTTAACCTCTAAGCTTCTATGTACAGCTGCCTGTGTGGGAAACTCTCTATACAATAGAAAATAATTACAAAATTACAATTCAGCCTCTTTATGATGCTGGCATAAAGAAAAAAATGCTGAAAGAGGCCTAATTACTTCTTATGCTACAGTTTTTATTTTATGTAGTTATGATTGGAGGATATAATTTGACCTACGAATCCATACAATGAGAGGATATGTTATAAAAGGGATGTATTGTGTAACTGAATAGAAATTTTCCTTAAATGTTAATTTTTAATATTTTGCTTTTTCCATTAAAAGATGTAATAGAGCTGACCTTACCCTGGCTCAACCCAATTTTACCAAGACATAATATGCCAACATGGTTTAGGACTATACCACATTTCCCACTGCGGCATGAGAAACAGCTATGGTATAGTGGAAAGGGCCCTGGATTTAGACTCTGAAGAGCTAGGTCCAAGTCCTAACTCTGCTACTTACTAGATGTGCGACCTGGAGTAAGTCCCTTCACTTCTGAGCCTCAGTGTTCTCATCTGTAAAATGGAGGAAATGATGCTTGTACTACACCACAAGGTGTTGTGAAGATAAAATGAGATCATCTATACAAAGTGCTTGGTAAACCATAAAGCTCTACATATATGTCCACTATTATTAATATCATTGTTATTTCTCATGTGTAATCCCTGTGTATATTTTGCTTTTAAATGGTGGATTACAGGTATCTCTCAGTACTAAGAGGTATTAGTACAATCTATTTGCTTTCACTCATGAAAACCTGAAAACTATCAGCCATGTACATGCTAGGGTGGGTCATCTGCCCCAGGTCAGACAGGGTGGAGACAGCAGCTGTTAGATGTTTGTGGAGATGCTTAAAGGACCATCAGGCTCTAGAGTTAACAGATAAATGAGCAAACCATGACTTCGGCTTTCTGAAGGCCAAGAGTACCTGCTGAGTCACTGAGGGTTGGGGAGTGTCGGGGGGAGAAGAGGGAGGATGGATCCTGCTGATTGTAACATCTGGGGCCTTCTTTGCTCTACAACAGTTGTTCACTACTGTTTATCTGTCACTAGTGGCCACATGTAATCCCCAAGCACAGTAAATCCTTCTAACCAAATATTAATACAATGAACCCAGCCATTTCCTTCCTTCACAGGAAGTTATTTTCTTATATAACTTTAGGGACATCAGTGCTCCCAAACAGCATCAACTCAATTATAAAAACAGAGAACTATCGGGTTTATGACATTTCAAAATCTCAAAGGAAATAAACATTACAAATTAGTCAACAGGAAAATTGTCAAGAATTACAAACAGGCACAGCAATTCATCCCCAAAAGGCATCATTACAGAGCACTCCATGACCACTAGGTCTAGTTCAACATGCAACAGACATTATTTACCAATAATTTGCTATGCAGCTGGGGTAACTGCCAAAATTAAACCCTATTTTAGCAACTTTCTTCCCCATTTTATATGAATTAGCTCAAATAGTATCTGTTCTTTAGTTTATGGAACTGAGAAGATAAGAACTTGAAAGATAAATCCAGTAGCCTCAAAATAAAATTAATATTTGGAAGAATCTAGAAAAAATACCATAGCTAGTAAACCTGCACAGGAGAAAGTGTACCTCTCATTTTTCCCTTTGAATAATATACAAGTAACAACAATACATTTCTGTAGCACTTTTAAGGATTACAAAGAGCTTTTCTCACAAAAAATCTTATGAAGAGGGTAGTGCAAACATAATCGACCACATCTGACAAATAAGGATGAGGAACCAACCAAAAACATCAGTAGTAGACAGACAGGAAGAGAACTGAGAGAATAGTGAGAGAGTATCAAGAAGGAGAGAATGTTACAGTCATGAAGGATGAAGCCTGAGAAAAGAACAATAGAGAACTTGAAAAGGCCAGTTTCAACAGAGTGAGAATGGATAGAAGCCAGAGAGTAAAAAAGTGAAGGTAATGATACTACGCTTTAATAGAAAGAGCACTGGACTTAGAGACAGGAGGCCTGAGCTTGAAGGTGAGCTGTGTGTAACATGCATTGGCTAGCTACATGACAAATCAATTAATCCTGTTAACTCAGTTTCCTCAACTGTAAAATGGACATGATAACATTTATACTATCAATCTCATAGTATTGTTGTAAGGAAAGTGGTCTGTAGACTTTAAACTGCTACAGAAATGAGAAACTTATCAGTAAAGGTTGACTGTCTACCTCACAGGTGCTGGAAGGGGCATCAAATTAAACAGAATTGCACATTTCCTATTCATTTATGATCAGCAGTATAGTATGATTTCTAAGGGTAAAACATTGCATCTTATGTGAATGGGAGCTTCCTTTAACTACTAATCACAGAACCTTAGAACCAGAAAAAGCCATTAGAGATCATCTGGTCCAGCCCCACCTAAAACACCAAGAAGGCAAGGTTGTCCAGTCCATTAGTCCCTAAGGACTGAGACTTCAGACCCTCCCTTAGTCACTCATTTTAAGCTCTCATTCAGTTTAGCCTTAATGAGAAAGAAATCATAAATTCCCTCACTCTCAATGATTTTCATGCGATAATTTGAAAATCTGCAAAGACAACCTTACCCTTAATGCAAATACCACATTAAACAGAATCATCGTAGGCATTTCTCTTTTTGGAGATGGATCTGTTTTAGATACCTGTGAAATAAACAGAAGTCTAGTAAGCAAATGAAATCACTTTCAGAGATCAATAAAAAAAGATAGAGCTGGAGATAATCTGATGACAAATGTGCCACGATGGAAAAAGAAAAATGTCAAGACTGCAGTAGAATAAAAGAGCTAAGGAGAGATCATTAGAACCAGCCCTGCTGACTGTCACTGGACCATCCATTACCACCAATATTTGTTTGGTGAATCTATTATGGGTTTGAGGTGGTATAGAACTGTGCCTGGTCACAACACCCACTTTACCATACTAGCAGAACCTCCCTGATTTTGGAGGTTGTTCTGGGGATACAATGAATGCAACATAATCATAATCATAAATGTGATTCTGTTTTGTATTCCTATTGAGATTTTCAAAATACTGATTATTACACTATAAATGTACTACTCCTATAACAACAATAGCAAGCCCACCCGATAGCTCAGTCCTCTATCACACTTTATATTTGTGTAACAGTTTACATTTCTACGCCACTTTTTTGTGCATTATCTCATCCTTGTGAAGGATATTATCTCAATCTTATAAATAAATAAACTGAGGATCAGAGAGGGTAAGGACTCTGACCAAGGTCAAATGGCTAATGTAGTAAAGTCAGGCCTAGAAGATTAAGTCTTCATGCTCCTAATTTAGGTTTCTGCCTCTTCACCACAGTGCCTCTCAAAAACACTTGGAATCACAGAAGATTATGAGAACAGACCTTTGAGATTATCTAGTGACTAGATTCTAGTCCAACCCTTCATTTTTATATGAGGAAACTAAGGCCCTGAGAGATTCCGTAAGTGACTTGTACACACGGCTAAAAAACCGGTTAGTGACCACGCTGGGACTAGAACTCGCAGCTCTCTCCACTACACCACACTGCCATATCCAGGCCACTACAACCATCATAATAATGTGGATAAATCCAGCAAACACAATCCAATTCAATAAAATCTGTTACCTTTATTTAGAATTTTATGTCTCATATACTGAGGATAATCAGAAAGAATTACTGAATGGAGGTGGTTTTAAAATAAGTCTTCTGCTCAAATACAAGTCTGGTATCAAAGCATCATAGAATTGGAGCTGGAAGGGACCTTAGAGGTCAATGATTTCAGCCCCCTCATTTTACAGATGAGCAAACTGAGGACGGAACCATTAAGCGACTTGTCTAGTATAATACAGCTAGTAAGTATTTGAGATACTATTCGAAGCTGAATCCAGGCACTTACTAAACAATCTATGTTTCCTATGCATATGTCTTATGTTCTCTAGCTCAGCTGTAAACTCCAAGAGGACAAGGTCAATACCTTATTTACATTCACTATCTTCCCTAACATAATAGGCAGTAGATCAGTGCCTACAGAACTGCCCTTGGAATCAGATAGCCCTGCGTTCAAGTCCCATTTCTAACATACACAGGCTGGGTGACTTCAGACCAGTCACAACTTCTCAGCACTTTAAGCAACTCTCTAAGACTATAAAGTTGCAGGAAAGACGGCAACCTGCATTGGTAGAGGGAGTTTCCTCACCTGTGAGTTACCTGTATCAGTGAAAGTGCAGGTCCAGTCCCTATCCCAGATATAGAACAGAGCATTGATATAAATATGTAAAACTAAAAGCCATTCTCCTAAGGAAATAGTTAAAGAGTAGGAATAGTTTTCAAAAGGTCAACTGCAGACTAATAAATTACTAATAAGAGAAATGCAAATTAAGACAACTCTTAAGGGTTCACCTTGCTCATTAAATTGACAACGATGATTAATGATTTTGGAGGAACCATGGGGAAACAGTCACACCAATACACTGCTGGTGGAACTGTGAATTGGTCCAACCACTCTACAAAACGATTTGGAATTAAATAGAGAAAGCCAATAAACTTAATTCATATGCTTTGATTCAGCCATCCCACTACAGGGCATAAATCCAAAAAAGGTTACTAACAACAACAAGGTCCTATATATAATAAAATATTACTAGCAGTACTAGGTGGTAGCACAAAACTGGAAACAATATGAAAATCCACTGACTGGGAAATGGATGAACAAACTACGGTATTTAAATGTAACGGAATATTGTGCTGTAAGAAATGACAAATATGAAAAAAGTCAGAGAAACCCAAGAAGACTAATGTGAACTAAAATGGAGAAAAGAACTAAGCAAACTATACAGTGACTGCAATAATGTAACCAAATTAACAAAAATGTTGTGAAACCCAGATGAACTGCAATGCCAATCTTGGTCCCAGAGAAAAGACAAGGAAACACTTGGCTCTTCTTTGGAAGTAAGTGGCTTGAAGGTATAGAATAATTCATTTACTACCAGAGGAATTTTGCTGATTGGGTTATACATAAATTTTTATTTTAGCGAGGGATAAGTCAATTGGGTAGAGGGAGACTAGGAAATGATTCTGATGTTTAAAAAAAGGGCATAAATAAAATTTATTAGTTGGGAAATAACTGTACTAAGATAAAATAAACACATAAATAAAATCTGAGGTGACTGGATCTTTAAAAAAATTTAAACTATACCAAGAAAAATAGAGACAAAAAAATCTGAATTAAATGGATCTTTTTAAAAAAATGTAAATGGGATCATTTTTAACTTTCCTTATCTCAGTTATTCCCAGTTCTTTTTGCCACATATAACTGAAAGCTCACTGTATATCAGCCATAGTGCACAAATGTAGAAAAAAGGAAGAAGGATGAAGGACAGGGTCAAAACAATCCTTCAGGAAATTAGGGATGGTGTAACAGAAAAACCAATGGCATTAGAATAATAAGACTTGGATTCAAATCATGTCTATGATTTTCTCGCTGAATGATCCTGGGCAACAATATATTGCTCTAACCTTCAATTTCTCACCTGTAAAATAGAAATAATAATATTTACATGGGAATAATATTATACTATCAACTTCAGTTACTGTGAGAATCAAATAAGATAAGGCACTTTGTAATTCATAAAGTACCACATAATTATAATTATAAAGCACTATTCATAAAGCCATTATTAGTTCTATGACTGAGTAAAAGACAACAAAGAGGCACCTTATACACAGCAGGTACTTGATAAATGTTTCCTGCATTGAACAGGTACTTTACCACTTTCCCACAACTCATCCTCAACCTGTACCTTTACTCCAAACTTTTATCTCTGCTGTTCTTGACCATTAACCACCATTTGTCACTAAACCACCATTTGTCACTAAACATGCACCCTGAGGAGCTAGAAGAGCCGATTGGCATCTGTCAAGCAGATTTATTCTAGGCATGGTCAATTTCTATGAAATAAAATGGTCACTTTCATGAACAAGTGTTACCACAAGGTGGAAAAAGAGCTCTAGCAAGGCCATAGAAGGCTTTTTATCACATACTGCCAGACAGAAGCAATGAAGCTTTTTGCTAAGAAAAGACTACTGTAAACAAAACGCACCCTTCAGTTTTTTGAACCATCAGAGGACGCTCATTCTCTTGGTAGAATTTCAGCAAAAAGTTCTGACCAGACGAAGAAATGTGACATTTGGCGATCATTCACTCATCCCTACGCATTTTCTGATGGGAGGTGGCTAACCAGAGCAGCACAGAATGTAAGAGCTGGAAGGACCCTTAAAGATCACAGTCTAAGGAGCTTAACTATTTTCATGCCCTGAAACCTATGGATCCAGTCTCAGAAAAAATGTTTTTAAATGCATTAAACAAAAACCACCTATATTGAAATAGATAAAAATAATAAAAAACAAGTTCAAGTGCCTCAGGTTAAGAACTTCCATCTAGTCCAACTCCCTCATCATATAAATAGGGAAACTGGAGCCCAGAGAGGGGAAATGACCTGCCCAAAGTCACAAAGTCACAATTATCAGTGGCAAAACTGGGACTGGACCCTAACTTTCCTGACTTTGAGTCCAATAAATGCCCAGACCCTTTAAACTTTACCCAACTTACATAACTCTTAAATAAGAGCAGAGCAGAAGAAAGATAGGATTAAAATAACCAAACTGGAAATGATACCCAGAGATAGAAATTGAAGTTATTAAATGACTTCTGCTAGGTTAAATTTTTAACTTCTTGAGGGCCTTACACAAGTGCTTTGTAAACAATGCTTAATAACTATCTGCTAATCTAAGGTACCACCTCACACCTATCAGACTAGCTAATATGACAAAAAAGGAAAATGATAAATGTTGGAGAAGATGTGGGAAAAATGGAACACTAATACATTGTTGGTGGAGTTGTGAACTGATCCAACCATTCTGGAGAGCAATTTGGAATTATATCCAAAGGGCTGCAAAACTGTTCATACCCTTTGATCCAGCAATAGCACTACTAGGTCTATATCCCAAAGAGATCATAAAGAAAGGAAAAGGACCCATATGTGCAAAAGTATTTATAGCAGTTCTTTTTGTGGTGACAAAGAATTGGAAATTGAGGGGATGCCCATCAATTGGGGAATGGCTGAACAAGTTGTGGTATATGAAAGTAATGGAATACTATTGTGCTATAAGAAATGATGAGCAGGCAGATTTCAGAAAAACCTGGAAAAAATTACATGAACTGATGCTGAGTGAAGTGAGCAGAACCAGAAGAACACTGTATATAGTAACAGCAACATTATGCAATGACCAACTTTGATAGACTTAGTTCTTCTCAGCAATACAATGATCTAAGACAATCCCAAAAGACTCATGATGGAAAATGCTATCTACATGCAGAGAAAGAACTATGGAATCTGAATGCAGATTGAAGCATACTATTTTCTCTGTCTCTCTCTTTTTTTGTTTTCTTTTTCTCATGGTTTTTCCTTTTCGTTCTGATTCTTCTTTCACAACATGACTAATGTGGAAATATGTTTAATATTTAATAGGTATAGTCTATATCAGATTGCATGCCATCTTGGGAAGGGGGAAGGAGAGGGAGGGGAAAAAGTTTGGAACTCAAAATCTTACAAAAGTAAATGTTGAAAACTAAATAAAAAAATAAAAAATATCTGTTGAAATGAATTAACAATGAACTGTGTGACTGTGTACAACTATACTAATTTTCTATGCCAAAAATAAATGTGGTTTATTTTTAATTTCTAGAACATTGGGTTCTGATTTTTAATTTGCAGGTTGGGTTATTTTTTTCTTAATAAGTAACATTTATTTAAACTGTATTCATTGCTTATAGGAGTATGGTCTCTTAATAATGAAAACAAATGATGTTCTACCTCATAATCAACAAACAGGAAAATGTAACAAAATAAAAGAATACCAAATTTTGGAAGGACTGTGGAAAGACAGGCATACCAATACTCTATTGTATTTTATTAAAGCAATGTACTTTACTATTGTAATATTATTGTACTTTATTATTACTGTATTATTGTACTATACTGTATATACTGTACTATATTATTATTGTACTTTATTAAAGCAATGAACCGGCACAATCTTGCTGATAAAGAGACTAAAATGTCCTTAAAAGGTCCCTTTGACCTGGTGCTCCCACTGCTAGGAATTCACTCCAAGGAGAGCAATGATAAAAAGAAAGAGCCAAAATACACTAAAATATTTATAGCAGCATTTTTTGTGGTAGTAAAGAATTAGAAACAAATTAAGTGCCCATCGTTTGAGGACAGGTTAATCATATTATGATGCACGAATATAATGGAATATTACTGTGATGTAGGAAATGATGACTATGAAGAATGCACAGAAGCATGGGAAGACACAGAAACTGATATAAAGTGAGCAGAAATAGGTAAACAAAGACTACAACAATGAAAATGGGAAGAACAACAAAAAAAACAAAATGGAATGCTGTGAAATTATCATCAAAGAGCCTCAGAAATATGAGAATGCATCTCCTTCCCATCTTTCCAGAGATGGGGGACACAGAATGTGGAACACTGTGAACCTGCCTATAGTGTTGGTTAATTTTGCTGAACTGGTTTTTTTTCCTTTTCTTTTTAATTTTTTCTAATAAGAGATACCTCTCTGGGAAAGGGAGAAGGAAGAGATATCAGGAAATGAAGCTGATGTAAAAACAATATATAGTAATAAAATTAGTTGTTGGTTTTTTTTAAGTGTGGTTTCTCAATTACACTGGACTTGAAAGGTCAGGGGACCTGGATTCAAGTTTCAGTTCTATTTTTTGGGTGTTCTTTGTCAAGTCATCTAACTTCTGTGTACTTTAAATTTGTCATCTGTAAGTGGAGGGTTTACATTACCATTCACACAGACAGCTTTAGAATGTTCTGAATAACTAGAAGAGTGACATAGCTACATTAAACCCCATCTTTAAAGATCCTTTGTGCTGTTGACCATACCTGTCCCAAGGCATGCTGCAGAAGTGTGGGGTGACCAACAAAGCGCACGTTATCAATCTTCAGCTCAAATTTCTGACCACACATGTCAGACTTAGTTGCCAAAATCGTTGCTAGAATAACATCTGAAAATCTTCAAAAAGAAGTAAAATAGAAAAAAATTACGATAGAAATTAATAGTACCATAACCCCAAATGTTTCCAAAGGGAAAAGGCAGATAATATTAAACTGGAGCTTCATTTAGTTTTTATTTTATTAGAGTTCCAATTAAATTGCCCAATTGTTAACCTTATTGATTTCCAACAATCCATCTTTTTAAAAAACTTCCCTAAGATTACATATTTCAAATCACCACAATTATAAGATGAAAGGTGCCAAGAAGCAAAGATTATAGGCACATGCTGCCATTTCATGACATGCTCTGTGAAATACAGGAGAGAAATATAAGTTGCAGTTTGCTTTTTTAAAAAGTAAAAAAAAAAAAATATTTGGAGGTAGCCACTGCCTTGCTAGAGCTACATGTTAATACATGTACTAAGCAACTGTTGACTGATGCAGCCTTTTGCTCAAGCAAATGAAAAACAGGTATGAGCCACTGTGGGATTTTCATAATTTTTTAAAAGTATAAATGGAAACCTCCTTCCTTCCTCCCTGCCTGCAACAAACTCAGCTAAATAAGTAATAAAGTTCAGCATTCATGAATGAAGAGCATAATTGAATTGTTTGCTATTCAACACTATAAATACACTTTACTAAGTATTATATTTTTTCTTCACAAATGGTTAAATACCTCTTATTTAATAAGAGCATTTTAACTTTAGAGTTATTATTTTATAGGAAATTATACATGCATATATGTATATGTACATATGTAGATATACAGTATGTTTGGATTGTATATATTTATTTCTTAATATTGTACATAATATTTGTCTTAATATAAATTTCACTTTCCCTCAATTCCCTAGTGCAAGGAGTACAGATAACACAATATCATTGAAAGAAATGAGGGTGGCTTATGGGTGTGTCTACTACATTCTTTTATCTCTTGTAGCCCAGATCTCTGTAAAGAACCTAGGTCTTAAAAATAGGAATGCATCTTTGCATAATTTTTAAAGAGAATAAAAAATAATATTCCTGTCAGCAAAAACCTCTGTAGTGTGGGCAAGTTGAAAATCTCAATATGTGAAATGGGTTTTTATTAAGGCCAAGTATATTTCTTTTTCTTTTGAAATATTAAGGTCATACTGTTTTGGGGAAGTCAAATGCAATATTGGAAAGAACTTCAGGTTCATAAGATCCAGTTGCCAGCCCCAGGCATCTGAATCATCAGAAGTGAATTATCATAGGATCTTTTTTGAAGATCAACACAGTACTGTTTATGAAATGTTTAACCACTGTGGGAGTACATAGTTTTACAGATATGGAGCTGAAAGGGACCTCAGAACTCATCCAATATTCTCATTTTACACGTGAAGAAACTGAGGCAAGAGAGGTTAAGTGACTTGCCTACGGTCACAAAGATAATAACTGAAAGAGTCTTCTGACTCCAAAACTAATACAGTGTACCACTGTACCACTAACTGTCTCAAAAAGTTGTTCTGTTTACACTTCCTCTTGCTGAACACTAAGCAAACAATGTTTTTGTGACAGAAAAATCAATCTTTTGGTAGTTACTGGATAGCTAACACTATGATTTTCCCTTTTGTTTTGGAAACAGGTTCTATTTAGTCTGGACTGCTTCTACAGATCAAATATTTTACAATAAAAAGGATTCTCAAACTCTAAGCCAATGGTTCATTTATTTTAAGCAAATTTCTATACAATCTAGACAATTCTCAATGTGTACATAATGGATTTTCACCCATATTCAGTAGAACATAAGAAACTCCCTACGGATTAATAATATACTAAAAAAATGTAGCAAGCAAAACAACTGCTCAAAAATTCATTTTCTATTTAGGTCAGACCTGTCCTGGTCTGCAGCAGAACAGGCCTAGAAAGGGCAGCTAGGTGGTGCAGTGGATAGAGCATCGGCCCTGAATTCAGGAGGACCTGAATTCAAATCCGGCCTCAGACCAAACACTTGGCACTTACTAGCTGTGTGACCCTGGGCAAGTCACTTAACCCTAACTGCCTCAAAAAAAAAAAAAAAGAAAGAAAGAAAGAAAGAAAGAAAGAACAGGCTTAGAAAGTTTTCAAGGACCTTTAGGAGACTAGATTGGTTCTGGAAGCACTAAAAATTTAGGCTCCCTGATGGCAGGCCTAAGGTTGTCTGAGAGATCCTAAACCAAATCAATTGCCCACTGGGTTCACCTGTAACTGGAATGATCTGACACACAGAATTAAGCACTAATATCTATTTCTTTCATAGTCAAGTGACTACAGACACATTTTCTGCTTGAAAATACTGAGTCTTTGGATATGTAAAAAAAATAGTGGGAATTTGCAGAGGAAGAAACCCCTTCCAAAGTCAGAAAGCCTTGAGGGTACTTGCCCATCTTGAGCAAATCTCTACTACCTAGGATATAACAGTGCCTGGTACCTAGTAAGCATTTAATAATTTCTTGTTGACTGACTCTCATATGCTACTGTCCACACTTTAATGAAAAGTTCCTGTCTTGGATCAGGGCAAAATAGTAATAACAATCAGTTGCATAGGCTTTACAACTTACAAAGTACTTTTCTCCTAACAACTCTGTGAGGCAGGTGCTATTATTATTATCCTCTCCATTTCACAGATGAGGAAATTAAGGCCCAGAGGTTACATGACTTGTCCACAGGGCTAGAGAAAGGTGTTATGTGATAAAAAGGGCCATAAATGGGTCTACTTTTAAATGTACTCTCACTTTCAGTCTCATGATATACAACAAAGGTAGAGGTAGAGTTTAGGCACTAGAAACTGGTCAAATATTAAGCCTGTGTAGGTGAATAACCTCTTTTCTCTACCACCAGGTGGCTAGGGGAGATAGAGGAAGAGGCTAATAAAATGAACTCCACCTCATTCCAGAAAGTTCTCTTTTTTTAAAAATTGTGCCAATTAGACATAATTTTGCAAGAAGAATTGGGGTCTTGAATGTGGGGGAAGACTCTACCTCAAATTCTTAGCTTTTCCATAAAGACTATTACCTTCTACCCTTAAAAGGACAATTAAAACCAGCTTCTCTTCAACTGTTTTTAGTTCATTATTTCCAAAAATTAAAAATGAACCAGATATAACTGTGAAAGAAGATCCTGAGCTTGTAAGAGTCAAGCCACACCAAGCAAAGGGTCTAGCAGGGGGAATTTCTCTTTTTAATGTATACAAGATGAGTCATTTTCAAGACCCGATTTTAAATACAATTGCCTTAGATGGGACTCTGGTTTAAATGAGTCTCTCTAGATTAAATGCAGTGTAGAAGAACTGAAGAATTTGGTATTGTGAGGGAATTCTCTCTACTCTGTCATCATATCTTAAAGAAAAGAGGACCTATAGTCAGTCCCTAAAAATCACGAAGTCAGATAAACATTCAGATATACCGAAAAGGTTTTGGTTCAATAGTACATTCTGCCTTTTAAATTGTTTGGAAACAATATATTTCTTCAAATAAAATAAAATTAATAATTATTAAACAATTTTGACAAAATTCCTGTAAGTGGGTAATAGTAAAAAGCAGCCGAATGATTATAATTAATAATATACATATGTGCTAAGATTACAGGAACCATTTTCACTTCTCTTTAAATGAAAAGAGTTGGCATTTGGGACAATAATGCAAAAAAAACCCATCAACAACAAGGAATTGTGAAATTAATTAGAAATTTGGGCAAAGCATTCACAGGGTGAACAAAATAGCCTGCCTGTGAAAAAAATCCAGGCCACTTACATGCCCACTAATTTACTAATTCATCCTGATTTGGTTTGACATCTCAGGGGCCAAAGAGTAAAATGGACTGGATAAGAACAAAGGTGCTGCCACCAAGAGCAGTGTCCTAGTCTAAAAGTGCTACCTCTGTACCTTGTATACCAGGACACAGTGCCATCTCCACTGTATTCAGTATACTAGGTGACTGCAGCTTTCCAACTCCACCACCTCAAGCTCCTACAAAGTAAACAGGACTATGTAGTAATAGGGACCCCTAGGGGAAAAGATATGAAGATTATCATTTATGAAATCACATAATCCACTTCTACTTGAGGAGAAATTGCTTATAAATACTAAGAGGAGAAAGTTTTTATCTCTTCCTGGTACAACCAGTAGCAGCCAAGAGAGGGAACATACATATACTGGCATCAGCCCCCCTTAGTTCCCAGAACCTGGATAGAAAGTGTACCTTTAAAATATGCCTGAAGGGTCTGATGCTGAGTGGAGTAGAACCAAGAGAACGTTGTACATAGTAACAGCCACGTTGTGCGATGACTAATATTGAGAAACTTAACCCTTCCTGGCAATACAAGGATCTAAGACATCTCCAGAGGCCTTGTAATGGAAAATGCTATCCACACCCAAAGAAAGAACTATGGAATTGTTATTTTTTTCTCTTCTGTTGAGTTTTGTTTCCTCTTTCTGATGGTTCCTCCTACTGGTTTTAATTTCTACTTACAACATCACTAATGTGAAAATATGTTTAATATGAATGTAAATGTATAGCCTATATCAGATTGTGTGCCGTCTTGGGGAGGGTGGTGGGGAGGGAGGGGGAGAAAAATTTTAAACTCAAAAGCATATGAAAGTGATTTTTGATAAATCAAAATAAATTAATAAAAAAATTTTAAAAATAAAATAAAATAAAATATGCCTGAAGAAACCAGGAGAGAAACTAACTAGTGAAATGTCCTCTTCTGGGAATATGTATAGAGAAACAATCTCTGATCCTCCTCCATAACATAATTATACTGACAATAAAACCTGATGCCCATATTCATCCAAATTTGTCAGAAAGAATTGGTTAAGGGTTTGAATGTGGTTAAAGCTAAGCCCCATCCAGAAAATCTTCCTTGGTATCCACTAGGGCTCTCTTGGAAATGCACACTAGCTAAACACCTCAAGGCTCAGAAGAGAAAAAGAGTCTGGGTTGGAGAAAAGCAGAGAAATGTTAGCAGGACCTCCTAACTCCTTTGGGGAGATCTGAGCACTAAGCATCAGAGTGATGGCTGCTGTTGTTGTTTCGTTAGTTCATTGATCAACATCATGTGAAAATCAGAAATTAAGTACAATTATAAAGAGAAAAGGAAGCATGAGTTGAGGCAAAAAGACAGTATAGAATGCTTTGGTCTTACCCTGCAACCAATTGTTCATCGGTTAGAGGACATTGCTCGCTGAAATGGGAATATGACTATCAAAACCAAACAAAAATATAATAGAAGAATAAACCATGAAAAGTAACATGAGATTGTCTTGACTTTTTTTAAAAGACAGTATTAAAAACTAGAAGATGTACAAAATTGTTAGGGGTTAACTGCTATAAAACAAAGATAAACAGTTGATGAAGGAAGAAACTATTGTATACATATAAAAATAGGTTTACCCACATTCAACAACAAAGCTTACAAGTATGTTTTCCTTTGAGAATTCTATAATTATATTTCCACCCAACTACCCACCAAAAATTTCAGTTTTCATATTTGGGAGGCAGGGTGATAATACATTAGAATTAGTCCCAATTCTTCAAAGAGATCGATTTCTTCATTTAAATGTAGAAACTACACACAATAGGTATCAATATCAGCCTCTCTCATTGAAGCCCGTCACTACCTATAACACATTTGTAGTCTACTTGATATCTTTCTAAAGCTATGTAAGAAGAAGATACTCTAAAACCTCAGCTGCTTAAAAAAAAATATAGCAACAGAAAACATGCCTAACAAAATTCCCAGGATTATGTATCTCTGCATTTTTATATTCTGAATCTGTCAATGAGGAAGAACTTACAAATAATAACAATAATAACAGTAGTCGGCAATTATATAACCCAAAAACCTTTACATACACGATCTCATTTGAGGCTCATGATAATCCTGTGACATAGAGGACATTATCCCCATTTTACAGATAAAGAACCTGAGACTAAAAGAGATGAAACATAAGGGGTGCATGCCATAGAAGAAAGAGCACCAGCCTGAAAAATCAAGAACTGGGTTCAAATCTTGACTCTGGTACTAACATCTGGTATGACCTCAAGCAAGTTACTCCACCACTCTGGCTTCAGTTTCTGTATCTGCAAAATGTTCAATTAGATAAAATCTAAGACTTCATCTATCTCTAACATTCTAGAATTTTTCTGGAGTATGGGAGGGCTGTCGGTCCAGACCTGTGAGTCCATTGGTCTAGGAAACTCCTTATTACAGGATCTATATGAAATAGCAAGACTGAACCACAAAAAGTAGAGGAAACACCTTCTGCCACTACAGGAAAACCTGCTAAATGCGTGGCCCTGACCAAGTCACATAAGAAACCTTCTAAGACTAGGAGTTGTAGAACTGGTGTCAATTTGCAACATTCTAGAAAGATGATATAATTCTCTGAACCGAGACCTTCTTACTCCAACTACAATGTTCTCCACATCACAAAGCTGCTTCCCATGGGAGAACACTGCCTCAAATAATGAGGAGTCCACAGGAGACATAAAGGATCTGCAAAACTCCACAGCAGTGCCCAGGACACAGTGGGTATACAATAAATGTGTGTTCAATGAATGGGTCAATTGGGCAATCCCCAAACTAAACAAACAAATAGGGTAAGAGTTTGGGATAGTATAGCTTTATTGACGTTTAGGGACAATGGTTTGTCCCTAGGGATATGTAGTCTCCCCCTTCCAGCTCATATTCAACTTAGCCAGTAGAAAAAAAAGAAAAAAACATGTTTGAAAGCTTCCAACACTTTTGCTGATTTTGGACAGCTGCTGTAGAAAACTAAAATCAAAGTGAAAGTTATATTATTACCATTACACACTATCATGTTATAACAAATAAGATTGTTTTGGTTCAGTCTTGCTGTTTTACATAGATCTTTTAACAGGGAAAACCACAACAACAATGGACTTGAAGATAAACAGCCATGCACACCATGGAAGAGAAATGTACAGTCTAAGGATCTCTAATTTCAGAGGCACTCATGCTTTATCTCATCAGGCCTCACAGTGTCAAAAATTATCTCCATTCAAGGGTGAAAGGGTGTGACATAAAACACTGGAATCACTAAGTCCATACATAGTGTTCAAAGAAAACATCTAGTGTGAGAGAGGAATCCTGATCCCTAAGATCAGACAGGAAAATCAGGGACAGGGGTAGGATTAGAACCTAGATTTCTGACACAACTACAAGTGGTTTATCACATCACAAGATCATGGAGTTAGAGCTGGAAAGGACCTTAGAGATCATCTAGTCTAATCCTACCTCCTTTTTTTTTTAAATACAGATGACGAAACTGAGGTCCAGAGAGTTTAAGTAATTTGCCCAAGATCACAAAGGTAGTTAACAACAGAAATCTTGACTCTAAATTCAAAGTGTCTAAAATGGAATGGGTCTGAACAGAAACTGATCAATTTTTTGCATTAAACCTATCATTCTTTGCATTAAACCTACCATTAAGTTTTCAGAGAGTGCTATTTAATACTTAAAAGCCAACAAAACCACCACGCAGGCTGACAATTTCAATACACTAAGCTCAAATATTTCTAACAGGGCCACTCACTAGAAAAACTGTCCAAACTTTCAGGCATGTTGTTGCAGAGTTCCTCCAGATGGCCCTGTCTTCTAAACTACCAGGCACTTCCTTAGAAATATTTACTATTCACTGCTGATGCCCATAATACATTCAGAAAGTGTTTTGACAGGGAAAAGTAATGAAAATTATCTCGAAAACTGTAAATCAATTTGGTTGACATGGCACTGTAAAATTAGAGAAAAACCCTATTCCTTTCAGAATTGGAAAAGCTTGGTTAGAGATATAAGTGACCCAAGACCCCCAAGATATCAGGCCCGAGCCCCTTGTCCTGTTTCTGCTTCCCATTAAACTTGTTTCTTTTGAAGGAGGGGTTTCATCAGTGTGGGGAGCTCCTGTGTGGAAATTCCATCAACAGATGAAGCCAAAGAACCAGTAACTCTGTCTTAGCAAGCTGCCTGGGGCACTAAGAAGTTGAGTCACAGGTCTGTATCCAAGGCAAGACTGGAATTCAGGTATTCTGATTCCAAAGCTTTAACCACTATACCATGTTGCCTCTCCATGATATTTATGGCCACCTGAATGAGAAACAGCATCATTTTGAAAAAGACAGAAATTAGGTTAAGATACAGAATACTGAGGGCTCCCACATTGTCTCAAAAGTTTATAATTCTTTCCAAAGGAGATCACAGCTTCTAAGTGCTAGAAGGCATCTATTTTTGGCTTAGATTGTTTCCTAGAAAGAACTTCACAATTCAAACCTATACTAAATGGAATAGAGCTAACCTTGATGGCAGACTTTATCATTCCCTGGTTTAATTTGGCTATGGAAATTTGGAAGAATTTTCTAGTTTTTAATATTTCTTTGAGAAATAAAATAGATGGCACTCCCAGAGCTCTTAAGTTAAAGAGCTGCCAGAGTCCTGCATCTCTTGCACACGGATTGACAAACGTGTGAAGATATCTCATCTGTCACATACTCTTGTAAATAAGGCAACTGAATTTAACAAATATTTATTAAGTGCCTTACTATGTGCAAGGCATTATGCTCTGCACTGGGGATACAAATACAAATGCTAAACACACACCTTTATCTCAAGAAGGTATATTCTAAGGTATAACAACATTTCCCCTTGGACCCTCCCATAGCACTTTGTTTTGCAACTTACTATACCTTGTATTTAACTATAACATACAATAATATATGATAGTCACATTTATGTCTATTCTCCCTACTAGATATAAGTTCTATTAGTACAGAGACAGTTTCTTATCCAAACTTTGTATCTCACCCTATGTCTAGCACAGGACTTAAAAAACATTTGCTTAAAGAACAAATGAATTCAGACATCTGAAAACACTGTATAAAGTGTCAGTTAGCTACTACATGGACACTGTCTCATTAGCTCTCACTGAAGCAGATAACACATGATGGTCCCATGAACTGCTATAGTTAAAAAAAATTATCACCTAATGGCTTGCCTCTCAGTAAAGAACCTTCCCATCACTAGGTTGGTTAGCTCCATTAAGGCAGGGACTGTTTCATTTTTCTCTTTGTATCTGCCAGCACCTAGCACATTAATTGGACAACAGTGTATGGCCAAGTTCATACTTGAAGCCTTTTCAATTTGCTAAGTCCTTCCAGAGCCTACACTCCTTTGGCAAAGGCTTTAACAGCCCAAGGTAAGCACCCCATCACAATAAAGCATCAAAGAAGACAAGCAGAGAACTCATAAGTAGAGAGGTGACAACTTGGGTTTACAAATAGTCCTATTAAGCAGTTAGAAGAATTGCCAAAAGTCAACCAGTCACAGTTCAAAGAACACCAGTCCCAAATCTCCAATCATCTTATGAGATCCAAACAGGAACTGATCAATTTCTACATTAAATTCACCCTTCTCTAAGCTTCCCTCTTTCCAGTGAGGGTACCATGACTTTGCCAGGCAACCAGATTCACAACTTTGCAGACACAATTTCCTGTCCCCTCTCCTTTACCTCTTATCCAGTTAACATATCATGGTGACTACATATGCTACCTCTCTCACACCTGTCTGACCCTCTCCATACATAAGGCCAGCACTCTACATCAAGTCCTCATCACCTTTCACCCAAACAGCTTCTATCTGTTATGCCTGCTCTCCCCTTTCCAACCACCTCTGACACAGCTTCTAAAATAATCTCCCTAAGGCACAGGCCTATCCATGTTGCTCTCTTGCTCAAAATCTGTCAGTGGTTCCCAACTGCCTCTATATATAAACTCATCAGCTGGGAAGCTAAGACAATCCATAACCTGGTTCCAACCAACTTTTCAAACCTTATTTCAAATTATGCCCCTTCATAAACTACATTACAGGCAAAAGGGACAACGAGCTATTCTCAAAAGTCAATCCTCTACTTCCCACCTCAGTGCAATATGTCTCAAAATTCTTGTTTTCTTCCAAGTTCCGCCTCCTCTCAGAAGACTTCCCTTATGCCTCCTCATTGTTAATGTTCTTATCTTCTTTCAATTATTTTGTGTACACTGATTTCTGTACATGTCGCATCCCCCAATGGAATGTAAGCTCCTTGATGGAGATGTTTTGTTTTTTTCTTTATATCCTCAGTACCCAGCATAGGGCCTTAAATACAGTGGGCACTTAAAGGAGAATCAGGATGGGACAGGATGGGAGCTGTGTACCTTTCTGACACCTAATTTTTTCTTTTATCCTCTACCTTTTCTGAAAAGGTAGAAAGGTTCCCTTACCTGGAGTCCCCATCTTGGTCATCTGTATTGTCTCCTGTGTTGTTAACAGCATATCGGCTACGTGGCTTATCTATAGCAAAAGGAAACAAAATATATTACATTAAATATGATAAGTTAGGAGACAAGGCTAGCACAAACAAACTCCACAAATAATCCCCAAACTTCTATTTTAATCATAGGTTTCCACCTTTCCCCCCAGTGAGATGTAGTGAGGAAAACACCAGATATGGAGTAAAAAGATTCTATTCCTGGTTCCACAACTTATTGGCAAATCATAATCTCTTTGGGCCTCAGTTTCTTCGACTATAAAATGGAAATAATAATCCTTGACCTATCTATCTCATAAACTTGTTGTGAGAAAATTACTTTGCAAACTATAAAGCACTAGAAAAATGTGGGAACTATTATATTAACAAACTGCTGATCAATGTTCTTGGCAGCTGCTTTTCATTTCCACCTCCCAGACACAGGCAAAAGTGTTTAAAAAAGCAATGAATTTGAGAACTGTAAATAGTGAAAGAGGGAAAGAGACACCAGAGATCTATAGACAAAAGTATGGTTGAATTCTGAGATGTTCTACCTGTTCTTCCCTAACTCCTTCAGCCCACAATGGTCTCCCTCTACTCAGAATCCTTACAGAACTTTAAAGTCTGTACTATGCAATTTAGCACTTAACTGTATACTATACAACAACGTATATATTATATGTACAACATTGATGTTGCATAATTAGTATGATGACCCCCCCAACTACACTGAAAGCTCCTTGAGGGCAGGGGCCACATCCTTATTTTTTTAAAATCTCCCATACCATATAAAGTAGTGCTTTGTATATCAGTAGATGGAGGTGCAGTGGATAGAGTGCAGGGCCTGGAGTCAAAAAGACCTGCGTTCAAATCCAGCCTCAGACACTTACTAGATGTATGAGCCTGGGCAAGTCACTTAACCCTGTTTGCCTCAGTTTCCTCATCTGTAAAATGACCGGGAGAAGGAAATGGCAAACCAATCTAATATCGCTGCCAAGAAAACCCCAAATGGGATCATAAAAGAGTCTGTCACAACTGAAAAAAGATTGAACAACAACAGATATACTTGTTGATTGTGACAAGAATAGTCTACTAATAAATTTATCTCAGAAAGGGCCCTTACCTCATCATCCCCTCAATATTACCTCCCTCTTCATTAACTAATTATAATATAGAATTAAAGTATGTTTTAAAATATTTGATGCATTTATGTTCCCTGTTAGTTTAAAAATCAGATGATTTTAACTTTTCTCTCTTAAAAAATAAAAAACAATCTAAAGTATTTTTTATTTCTATAGTACCTTTAACTTTTCAGTTGGTCACTATTCTTCAACGGATAAAAAGGCTTCCCATTTCTAGACTATGTATATAATACATAAGCTATATAATTAAACTTAGTATATTTAGAATTGACTACATAATGAAAACTGACATTTACATGGCGTTTTAAGATTTGCAGAGCACTTTACCCACATTCTTATTTAATCCTTACAAGATCAGCAGATACTATTAGTATTATTATTCCCATTTTATAGATGAGGAAACTGAGGCTCAGAGAAATTAATCTGCTCACAGTTGTACAAAAGTAGTAAACAACTGAGGCGGGAATTAAGCCCAGGTCTTTTTGACTCAGAATCCAGCACTCTATCCAATATACCACAATGTCTCTACATAATAAAAAAAACTGATAGGCTATATCAGTTTTCTGAAAAGATAGCCAAATGCCGAAGCATACTTCTCTCTCTTCACTGTGGAGAAGGGAACTACCAGTACAGAAAGTCATACATTTTCAAACAGTGTAACTGCATAGATGTTTTTGCTTGACTGGTTTTATTTGCTAAAAGACAGGGTTTAATTGAAAGGAGAGGGCATTTCCAGAATGACTGCAATGTAAAAAACAGAAGGCATCAATTAAACTTTTTTTTAAGACATCAAGAATACCGGTTGGGCAATTTTCATCACTATGGCAAGTTTGTTGAAAACAGTTTATTGGGAAGCAATGAGATGCAGTGGAAAGACCTAGGTTCAAGTCCTACCTCCGACACTTTATAGCTGTCACTACAAGCAAATTTCAAGATTGAAATCTTGGAGCCTCAATTTCCTCATCTTTAAAATGTGAATAATGTTTTAAAGCACGTACAAAATTTAAGGGAGTGGTTCTTACCATTTTTAGTATAAGAACCCCCTTTAATGTAAAAAAAATGCTATAAATCTGTACATGATATTTGCATTATTAGTATACGTTGACTGAGAAAATACATAGTAATAGAAAAAGCCACTATAAATTCATTAATGTTTTTAAGTGAATTTGTATTTTATTAATTACAATGGCAACTACATTTAAAAAATAAAACAATGTACAAAATATGTTCTTTATTCAGTCTATAGACAATATATTTATTTATTATACTGATTCATTCAGGATATTTTGTCAGCATTAAAAACAGATTAAAATGACAAAGCTTTGTGGACATATAGCTTTGCAGATATTTTGCAATAACACTGGAATTTCCCAGGGGTATACAACATCAGAGGTTGGCAACTACTGATAGAGGGTCTTCAGCACCTATGTGCAATTTTAAACTTGGATTTAGGCATAACAGAAACTGTCAATAAATAGCATTCAGCGTGTAAGGGAACTCAGTGACAACTGTATATGTAATTATTTATAATTCTAGGACAAACAAAAAATGGCTACCATAGACAAGAAGGCAAACTATATCCTATGCAAGCAGAATTCCAGACATTATCAATTGTAATTTTAACAATTCAATATGCCTTTCCATGCAATTAAAAATTATTTCTACTATATTTATAACATATACTGCTAAAGTTTTAAAACTGTGCAGAACAGCCGGTACACAAATAGGTCACTGTTTATCTGGGCACTGTGGTGATAGTGAGAGGAGAAAATAAGAGGGTTTCTTCACTCTGTGTATCCAAGCTGTTAGTTATTACTACCACTACCTAGTGAGTGAGAAATGCGGTAATCCCTGATTCTATGATGTTCTGCACTCCCAGAATGCTCTATGGCACTTTTAGATAGAGCACTAAAAGTCAAATATAAATAAATGGATAAGGACTGCTCTACTGGACCAGCTTGTAACCTATATTCAAACCAGAGATCTCAAGAGTTCTATTATTATCTCCTGTACCCCTCTGGCTGGGATTGGTTAGTAGTTAGAGCAACCTATTTTCATGTTACTGACAAAAGTGGGGAAGCTTCTCTTCACAGAAGAGAGAAACAATGGGTGTGGAACACTGCACTTAGTTGATGTGCTGCTAAACTACTTTTTAAAAAAAAAAATTATTCTTTGTTCTATGAGATGGTTATCTGGGTAGGAGTATATGGGAGAGGAGAGAAATACGTGGAAAAGGTGATGTAAAAATAAAAGATTCAAATAAAAATTGTTTTTAACATGTGGCTAAACTGATACAGTTAAGTAAGCCATAAAACAAACTCAGGAGCTCCTGGATGCAGTGCTTGGACCTTGATGCCATCCCACAACTCACATATCCCAAGGGCAAGGAGTATGGAAGAACAAAGATGTGTTCAAATCCTGGTTTCCAACCCATGTGACTTTGACCAAGTCACTTTCCCTCTCCTGGATTCAGCTTCATCCGTAAAATGATGGGTCTGAATTAGATGGCACTGGATCTCTTTCAACTCTAAATCTCTGATCCTAAGAACTAATGGCCAGAACTAGAGGAAGGTGTACAGCACATTGGGTGAATCCCCTATGGTAGATTTATGAGAAGACATGGCTAAGAACTTCATAGAATAAGCAGCCTGGAATGGATTAGGATCTGCTATGGAGCATCCGTATCAATGAGATTACAAATCCACATAAGTATCAGAGCACAGGAATAGCTCCAGGAAGAAATGGCACATTGAATAGGTAAGAATAAAATGTTTTCCCATAGTGGAAAGTATAGTTGATTATGAAAATTTTGACAATTTCATAGTAGCATATTAATTTTTAAAACATTCATTGAAGAGAGTTCTAAAATTCCAAAGTAAAAAGATAAAATTCAACTAACTATTGAGACTTTTCCAAAAACTGGGTTTCTTACACGAGAAATGGGGGCAAGCTAGGCAGTGCAGAGGATAGAGTGCCAGGCCCGGAGTCAGAAATACTTATCTTCTTGAGTTCAAATTTGGACTCAGATACTTACTAGCTATGTGACTCTGGGCAAGTCACTTAACCCTATGTGCCTCAGTTTCCTCATCTGTAAAATGAGTTGGAGAAGAAAATGGCAAACTGCTCAAGCCTCTCTGCCAAGAAAACCCCAAATGGAGTCACAGAGAGTTGGACATGACTGAAACAACAGAACAAAGAAAAAAAACCACAAGAAATATGGACACATGGCATTTCAGATTTGGAACAGACCTCAGAGACCATCTAGTCTCTAGATCAGAGGTGTCAAACACCTGACCTGCCACCTGCCAACTCCTGAGCGTGGCCCTAACTGATTAAAATGTAATTGGAAAATATTTAATAAAACAAAAATACAATAGAACATAATGTCAATGTGATTTTCTAGGGATCCTTATATACAATTTAGTGGCCCCTTTTTCTACTTGAGTTTGATGCCATCGCTCTAGACTGTCTAGTTTTAGACCTCCGGAAAGTGAGGCACTGGGTGGTTAAGGGATCTGCCCAAAGTCACATACATTGTGTCAGAGTTATGATTTAGATGCAGGCTGACTCCACAGCCAGTGTTCTTTCCACTATATCACTGTTATTGAAATGTAGTTTTTATACTTCAACCAATTTAGAAACTTTTCATTCTCAAAACTTTTCAATACATGATTAAGAACCACTCATGAACAGTCTTCTCAGAAATAAGTATGAAATTCATTTAGAAAGGAAGCTCATGAAGTATTTGCTATCATTTGGAATATCAGGCTCTATGATCTGTGATCCTTAAACAAACTGCCTCTCATTGTTGAATATGAAGAAAAACAAAAATATTTTTAAAAAAGAATCATCAATAAAAGTTTTTTTAAGACCAATAAATGTTTGTTAGAAAGTTTTTCAACAAAGAAAAGCAACTTGTTTAAAATATTTTCATTGCTTTATGGTTCAGGCTGAAAAGCATTATCTGTAACCTTTAAAAAAAAAAAGAGGTAGAGAGACATGAGCTTCACTTGGAGGAAAAATATGATTCCAAGGTCATAATGACATAAATTTTCTAGAATCTTGGGGGATTGTCATTTTTTATTTTTGTATCCCCTGCACCTTGGTGGAGTCTCAGAAACGCCAGATATTCTTGTTTTCACCCCAAATGAGCTCACTTTTCAGTTTCTACACAAACCACTGAGATTTTTCAGCGCTCAAGGGAAAGGATGAGAAGGGCAGAGAAGCCCAACAGTCAGACTTCAGGCACTATCACCACTCTTCCCTCCAACCTTAAAGAGCCAGCTTCTCATCCCCAGGAGTCCCATACCATACTGCCAACACTGGCTCACTTACTTGTCTGGGATGCAGGGTGTTCCTGGTTTCTCTGAAATGGGTACCTGAACAGTAACTTATTGCCCCTGCTCCCTGAACTGACCAGGATCACACTGATGGGGCTGGTGTTGTCCCCCATCCTGGGCCGAGAAAGGGCACGGGGGGGAGGGGGAGGAGAACCAGGTTTAGAGGATGTAAGAGGCTGGGGATTTGGAGGGACCAGAAGGGGCGTTCTGGGGCTTGAGGATGATAAAGTGTGTGGGGGTGAGACCTTGGGGTGACTACAACCAGGCCTCTTTGGTGCTAGGAATTTGGCGGAGGGAGCGGTGGAGCTTGAAGGTGATGGAAGGGGGAGGTCGGAGGGTTAGGTGTGAGCCGCGGTGGGGCCTCGATCCCCCAAGCTGACGTCTCGGAGGGTAGAAGAGGGAAGGATCCGGGTTTGAAAGGAGGCAAAAGCGAGAGGCCCGGGGGCGTGGAGCTTCGGGGAGTGGGAGGCCGAGGGGGCGGAAAGGAACTAGGTCGGGCCCGAAAGGCTGAAGGGAACCGGGGGCGCTGGGGAGGGGTCGGTGGAAGGGGATTCAGAGGAGATGGGAAGTAACAGGGACCCTCTGGAAAGACGTAATCTCGGGCCCGGGAGCTGGAGGCGAGGGAATCTCAGAGGCCGCGGAGGCGGAAACGTCAACTTGCCCTCACTGGGGACCAGAGTCACGTCCGGAATTGCCTCCCACCTCCTACCAGCCTCGCGAGGCTTCCTTAGGCCTCGAGCGGTTGCCCTAGCAACGCCTCTCCTACCCTCCGGAGGGGCCGACTCTCGCGCTTGCGCAGTGGTTTGTCATGGGGAGAGTCTGCGCAGGCAGCCGGAAGTGACCCTTGAAGTCAGGTTGTGTTTATGCTTTTGGTTGACGCTCTTTCTAAAGACGCTTGGGTCTGTCGGTTCCCCTTTTGAGCTGCTTTGGTCCCTAAGAAAATGCGTCCCTCCACCCCCACCCCAATAATAATACAACCAATCCCCAGCAGAGACCCCGTGGTTGGGGTCCTGGCTTCGAATGTCTGCCCTGTCACTTGCTTTCTCTGTGGCCTTGGACAACTCGGTTCCCTAATCTGGGCCATAGCGTCGTCTTCTGGAAGATGAGTAGGGTTGGTCTAGATAGCATCCAAGTCAAGTTGCTTGGAAGCATTTGTTAAGCGAGGTGCTGTGCGCTGGGGATATAAAGAAAGGCAAAAGACATTCCCAGCCCTCAAGGAGCTCACAGTCTAATGGGGGAGACAACATGCAAGCTACTCTGTGCAAATGAGCTATAAACAGGATAAATTGGAGATAATCATACAGAAAAGGCACTACCACTAAAGGGGATCAGGAAAAGCTTGCAGAAGGTGGAATTTCTTGCTGGGTCAGGAAGGAAGCCAAGGAATCATGTTTGAGGGTCCATCTTGTTTATACCAGCCTACAGCCTGCTTGTTTATGTATTTGTCTTTGAAGTTGAAAAATTCGATGCAACATATTAAGCACCTAACCGAAAGAGCGCTGGATATGGAATAAAAAGACCCTGACTGGAGTCTCACAGTGCCAGTTAATTATCGTCTGACAAAACACCTTCTCTCTGGGGCTTTGGTTTTGTTTAAAAGAGATCTCTAAGTTTCTTACTATAATGTATTGGAGAGTGTTGGATTTTGAGCCATAAGACCTAGGTTTAATCCTCATTCTGACACTTAATACGTATAACCATAGGTAAGTCACATCACCTCTCTGAGACTCAACTTTCCTCACCTATAAAATGAAAGGGTTGAACTAGGTGCCCTCTTAAATTCCTTCCAGCTCTAAATGTATGTCCTTATTATCCTCTTTATCTCCGCTACCACCACCTTAACACACATCCTATTACTAACCACCTGGGTAATTGCAATAGCCTCCCAATGGGTTTTCTTACCATCTCTACCCCCAATCTGACCTCTATAATACTTTCAGACTTATTTTCCTGATGGATAGAATTGATATGTCTCTCCTCTTTGAAATCCTTTCAAGGACTTCCTATTGCCTAATGAGTAAATTCAAACTCCATAGTAGGACATTCAAGATACTTCATAATGTGGCTCTACCTTTCCAGTCTTTTCTCATGAACTTTTTTTTTTTTAAGAGTTTACAAGTTTATTGGCAAATAGCTGACCAGCTGTTGTTTTGTGTGCAATTCAGTTTGGCCTTAAAGTGACTTAATATTGAAATAGTTGCTCCAGCTCTTTTAACTATTTTGACACATCTGTCAGATGTTTGAGTACTTACTATTATCCATAATACTGGGCAAAACCCCCAAATCATTATACAATTTTGGGGGTTAATTCAATCTACGCGTTTCACTAGGAAAGAGCCAAACAAACCACCATACATTAACATCAGCAACAATCCAATAAGATTATCCCAATCTGCCATCTTTCTTAATCTAATTTCACAATCAGGTTGTTAACATGATGTTAGGCCAATAGAAAAAAATGAAACAAAATAGATAGAATTAAATTCTAAATCATGCCTTCATTATTGTGCCACTGATGTCTTATGAAAATACACATTCAAAGGAAAAACATTCTGCTGGTAAGGAAGGGCAAATCCAAAACACTTGAACCTACAACATATAAATGCTGTACCACCATTCATTCATCTCAGCATGAGGTGGGGTAAGGAGTAATCTGCCAGGGAGAAGAAATTGTTTTGCAACAAGGTCTACTTGAGATGGACATGGGGCTGAAGACATCCTCTGAAAGTGAGGGAGGGCTGAGAACTAATATTCAGTCTCCTACCTGTTGCTTCTCTTACTGAAAGGGAAAGGATGACATTCTGCCCCTTGTCATCTACATGTGCTTTTGACATTCTGAGAACTTCCCAACTGTGGAAAGTTCCTTCCTGAAAAATGGGCAAGGTAGCAAACTAGCCTTCTTTACATCACCTACCCTCAGCCTTACAAAACTCCCAGGAATATTATAGCCAAATTTCAGAGCTCTCAAGTCAATGAGAAAATATTGCAGGCAGACAGAAAGAAACAATTTAAATATCGTCAGTATAACACAAGATTTAGCAACTTCTACATTAAAGAATTAGAGGACTTGGGATATGATATTCTGGAGGGCAGAGGAGCTAGGATTACAAACCAGACTCACCTACCCAGCAAAACTAAGTGTCATCCTTCAGAGGAAAAATGGATATTCAATGAAATAAAGGAATTTCAAGCATTCCTGATGAAAAGACCAGAGCTGAATAGAAAATTTGACTTTCAAATGCAAGACTCAAGAAAAGTATAAAAAAGTAAAGAGGAAGGAGAAATCAAAAGGCATTCAATAAGGTTAAATTGTTTATATTCCTACATGGGAAGATAATACTTGCAACTCCTAAGAACTTTCTCATTATTTGGGTAGTTAGAAGGAATATACATAAACAGAGGGTGTGATATAAGTTGAATATGATGAGACATCTAAAAAAATAAAATTAATGGGTGAGAAAGAGAAATGCACTGGCAGAAGGGGAAAGGGATAGGTAGAATGGGGGAAATTATCTCACATAAAAGATGCATGAAAGAGCTTTTACAATGAAAGAAAAGATGGGGGAGATGTAGGGGAGTACTTGACCCTTACTCTCAGTGGAATTCGCTCAAAGAGGGAATAACATATATACTCAGTTGGGTATAGAAATCCATCTTACTCTGCAGGAAAATAGGAGGGGAAAGGGGTAAGAGAAAGGGTGGGGGGCTTGATAGAAGACAGGGTGGATTGGGGGAAGCAGTAGTCAGAAGCAAAGCACTTTTGCTCCAAGTCACTATCAATTAGAGAAATGCAAATTAAAACAACTCTGAGGTACCACCTCACACTAATCAGATTGGCTAATATGACAGAAAAGGAAAATGATAGATGTTGGCGGGGATGTGGGAAAATTGAGATACTAATGCACTGTTGGGAGAGCTGTGAATTGATTCAGCCATTTGGGAGAATAGCCCAAAGGGCTATAAAATTGTGCATGCCCTTTGGCCCAGCAATATCAGTACTAGGTCTGTGTCCCAAAGAGTTAGAAAATAAAAAAGGAAAAGGATATATATGTACAAAAATATTTATAGCAGCTCTTTTTGTGGTGGCAAAGAATTGGAAATTGAGGGGATGCCCATCAATTGGGGAATGATTGAACAAGTTGTGGTATATTACTGTGATGAAATATTATTGTGCTATCAGAAGTGACCAGGATACTTTCAGAAAAACCTGAACTTACATGAACTGATGCAGAGTGAAGTGAGCAGAGCCAGGAGAACATCTACACAGTAACACCAACATTGTATAATGATCAACTGTGAAAGACTTAGCTATTCTGATCAATACAATGATTCTAGACAATTCGGAAGGACTCATGTTGAAAAATGATATCCACCTCTAGAGAAAGAACTGAGAGAATCTTAATGAAGATCAAAGCCTACTTTTTTTTAACCTTTCTTTATTTTTCTTGTTTGGTTTTGGGTTTTTTTGTCTGTGTTCTTTCATGACATGACTAATATGGAAATATATTTTGCATGACTGCCCATGTATACCCTATATCAAATTGCTTGCCTTCTCAATGAGGGAACAGAAAAGGGAGGGAGGGAGAGAATTTGGAGCTCAAAATAAAAAAAATGTAAAAAATTGTTTTTACATATAACTGGGGGAAAAGTGAAATATTAAATTTCATGTAATTAGAAAAATAAAATATTAAAAGAAGCATATATTCAATTAAAAAAGAACACAAAGGAGTCTTGAGACCAAACAGTTTGAGAACTTCTACAGACAATGGGAAGTTACTGTAGGTTTTTGAGAAGAATACTACCAGAACTGTATGTTAAGATTTCTCTGGTACTGCCTGTTTTCACAGGATTAGCAAAGAAACCAGAAATTAGGAAACTATTACAATATCCAGGTGATAATAATTGGACTTTATATAATGATTTAAAGTTTTCAGAACACTTTCCATGAATTATCACTGCATGCATATCATTACATTGATATCTCATCAAGCGATAATGAGGACCTGACCAAGTATGATACAGAAGGGTTTGAAAAGAAGACTTGCAAGAGAGATTGGAAAGACAAAATGAACAGTACTTGGCAATTGATTGGATGTAGGAAGAAGCAGAAAGAAGAATTAAAGATGACAGGGAAAAAGTTGATTAGTAGAGTCTCCTGCTATATCAAAGGATAATGGAAAGACTATGAGTTATGGGTAACAGTCTCAACACTGCCACTAATCCCCATGTGACTTTCAGCAAGTCATATCTTTTCTCTGTACTATTTGAAAAATGAGAACATTGAGCTAGATGATCCCTGAACTTCCTTCCAGCTCTGAGGTGAACTATGGTTCTCTGGCAGGGAAAGCCTGTGCATGGGCCAAGAGGAGCTGTGTAAGTCTCTCAGCCCCTTGCTTTGTCTTGGACAAAGTTTGAATTCCCAGACAAGAAGTGAATTCTCTTTGTTCTGTGTCCTCAATAGCCTACTTTGAGTGTTAGAAAAGAGCTATTATGTCTCCCCTGAGACTTCTCTAGGCTAAGCATCTCCATTTTCTCCAAATAATCCCTATATGGCAAGATCTTGAGACCCTTTACCATTCTTGTTGCCCTTTTCTGTGCACACTCCAGCTTATGAATGTCTTAAAATGTGGAAGTTGGAACTGAGCATCCTCTTCCAGCGAT